GGGCGGGCGTCCGGAGGAGACCGAGCGTGGCACATTACCGAAAGGCCCTCTGACTTGGGGTGGCAGGAGCTGTCTTCACCCTGCCCCACACGGCCGGATGCGCAGCCTTCGGCCTCCTTGGGCCTTTCTGAAGCTGGGTTAACTAGGGAGATGAGTCGCACCTTTGAGCTATCGTCATGGGAGCCTTTTGTGCTATATGGATACTCTGCTAAAAACTCTGCTTACCAGCAGCCCTGCTTGGATTTATGGAGCCCTCTGGGGCCAGTCCCTGCCCTGTGCCAGGGATGCAAAGCGGATGCGGGTACAGCTGGGTGAGGAGAGCCCTGACGGAGGTGAGGGAAGCACTGAGTGCCCCTTGGCTGCGGACGGGGCTCCCCTGGACTCCGCCTGGGGAGGGGAGGGGTGAGGGGCAGGAGGAGCCCTCCCATTAAGATGGGCAAAGAGCAGTGACCCCGGGTGCCCTAGGTCCTGAGAGTGTAAGTGGAGGAGGTGAGGCTCCTAAGGTCGCCAAGAGGGTTCAGACTTGAACCTGGAGGCCATGGGGACATCACTTTGCTACTCCTCATCGGAACAGTAGCTAAGTAAAACATGTCCCTGTCCCTCCCTCTGCCTCCTTGACACAGAAAGCCAGGCTATCAGGTGAGCAGAGTAGCAACCACCCCACTACCTAGCTGTGAGAGGGTCCACGTCCTCCATGCAAGCAGCTCGCCCAGGCCCTCCCCACCAGTGCCCTGCTTGCGAAACGCATGGTGCAAGTTGTCACCTCTTAGAAGCCAGTACAGTCTCACCAGCTCCCAGAAGATCGCGGCCGTCCCCTAGTCCGCCACACAGTGGAATGACACCCACGCACCCAGCCTCAAGCTGCCACCAGACCGGGGACGCCTCCCTGCAGGCACTCTGCCGATCTGTCCACCCCATTCCGCATCTTCTGGATGAATCCTCACGTGTAGGGAGAGGCTGGCATGGAAAGGCAGGATCAGTCGAGGCATCCAGTGTAGACACAGTGTGTCCTGGGTGAGGGTGAGGGTGGGCAGGAGAGTGTGAGTGTGGGACCAAGCCACGGAAGCGCAGGCTGTTGGGACCTGCTGGGCAAGAGACACAAGGACACACATCAGTTTGATGCCAAAGGGGCTATTGCAAAGATTGAGTCATGGTTTGTAAACTGTCAGTAAAATTCCCACCCCACACCTCAGTCTTATCCTAATGAGTTCCACGGGGAGGAAAGGAGGGGTGACTTTAAAGACAAGTGGCTGCCTTCTGCTTAAAGGGAGGGGAGAGCAGTCTCTAGGAGGGGTGGGGATGTTAGCTTCCGGCTTTGCTAGGTTTTTTGTGCCACGCTCCTCTCTCCAGGCTCCAGGACTCCTCTCCTAGCCCTGCCTCTGCCGGTAGCAAACCTGAACTCGGCCAGGGCAGGGGCTCTGGGATGCCAAGGCCTCAAGACAACGCAAACAGTGACAGCAGGGGCAAGGACGAGGCGCAAGGAGCAGGTGTGAGCTGGGCCTTTCCACACCTTCCACATCTGGAACCTGACACACTCTTGGAGCCCACGCAGCTTCTACAAACCTACTTTATGAGTGAGAACTAAGGCCAGAGGGAAGGGCTGCAGACCTCTACGTCTCTGGCGCCCACATCCCTCAGCTGCCTGCCTGCCCGGTGATCTCCTTTAACCTGCCCCTGGGCCAATGAGATGACCAGACCTCCCTACACACCAGTTTCTCTGTCTGCAAAATGGGAGTAAACCATCCCTCTGGGGCCCTCGCACTGTGAGAGATGAAATCAAATGAAACTTTGTCAAGACCTGCGAAGTGCCTGGCACTGTTCAGGTCGCCTTTAAGTGATCACGGCTGTCCTTGAATAGCAGTCACCAATCCTGATGTCCTAAAGGCTCCCCATACACACCACAATCCAGATCACAGACTTCATGATTTACTATGCACACTGACTGAGCACACAAGGCTCACACTGCTCACATTTCCATGGATTCTGAGTCCTGTTTCACCCCAGCTAACAAGGCACACTTGCATGTGGCGCTCTTTCAGAAGTATTTACCGAGCTCCGGCCACGCGCTGGGACGGGCTCTTAGCGCTCCGGGAGCTCAGTGTGCCAGGAAGAGGCCGTCTGTCCGAGAGTTCTGACTCCCAGAAAATCCCATGGCGCACATTTGGGCTCCAAAAACTGCCTCAGTGTCCGTCCTGATTTACGGAACAGGAGCGATGATGGCTCAAAGGCTTTTTTTTCCTTTTTCTTTCCAGCGCCTTACCTCCCACTGCCACCCCTGGAGGGTTCCGCGCAAAAACGCATTTCTCCTTGGCAGCCAGGCGGACACGCAGCCTGAAAGCGAGCAGGAACTCCAGGAAGGGAAGGGATAGAAACAGAACGAAGGCCCGGGAGGGACCAGGAAGCGGTGGGAGGTCTGCGCCCCGGAGCCCCCCGCGAGCCTGCCCAAACCCGTTTGGCTCAGGTTCCTCCCGGGCCGCCAGGCGGCCGACCGAGCAAAGGCCGGCCCGACACGCACCCGGCCTTTTGTGCGAGGGAAACACAAAGGAGGGAGAAAAACACGTCTTCCGTTTTGACGGCGAAGGCCAACAGCTCCAGGGTGCCAGGGCCAGCCGGGGACTGGGGAGCCAGGCGACTGGCCTCGGCAGGGCGCGCTCCACTCCGCGTGGAGGGCCGTCAGCCCAGGGCGCGCGCCGCCGGGGACATGGCTGGAACCCGGGCGCGGGACCCTGACTAGGGCTGGGACGCCTGCCCCACGCACAAGGGCAATCGTGGGGCGCCCCTTCTTGTTCCCTATTATTGGAAGTGGGGGGACACGAGGAGATGAGCCCAGCGGTGGATTTTCCCTGAGCTATAAGAGCCCAGGGGGGATCCATGCTGCTCCCATTCTCCCCCAACCCCACCCAGCAACTCTCTGATGTTGGGGGGAGGCAGCCGGGAGGAGGAACTTCCCGGCGGGAGGGGGAGAGGACCTCCAGGTGCCACCGCAGCCTCAACTCAGTGGCTCAGGGCTGGGGCATCTTTAGGGGGTCCCAGGATGTGCCCAGAAGACCAAGCCATCTGTCCTGCCTCCAGGGCACGCCCCCAACTTTCAGCCCTGCCACTAACCCCAGCCACGGGACCAAGTCTATAAAGAATATTAGACTGGGCTCTGTCGAAGACCGCCGATGACGCAGGACAGATACAAGTGGGATGCAACAAAAGAAGGAAGCAGGTCTCGAGGACGCGTGCCAGCCTTAGGACTGACCCCAGGCGCCTGGCGCTTATTAGCTACAGGGCAGGCGCGCATCTCCACGCCCCAGCAGCGCCCCGCAGCGCACAGCTCCACGCTGGAGCCCCGCGGGAGGGATCCTCAAACCCCGATTACTTCCTCATCCTCATCTCCGCTCCCCCCACCCCAAGCTCCCGCTTAGTCCCTCTGTGTGACAGATTCTGCTAACCGAACGGTTAGGGGTCACCCTTGTAGCCGTTAGAGGACATAGCACCACGCTTCAGTTCTTCGTGTTTTAAATACATATTTAACGGATGGCTGCAGAGCCAGCTGGGAGACACACGGGTTGAAAAATAATGCTCCAGAAGGCAGGAGACTGGGCAAAGGGGAAAATACCCGCTGGACTTTCTAGGGAGTACCAGAGAGAGAGAGAGAGAGAGATTTAGCAAGGAACTAGGGGCAATAGTCATGTTTTCCTATTTGTTTGTTTTGTAAATTTGCTACATGAACACCAATTACTATGGGGGTTTTTTTGTTTTTGTTTTTGGCTTGCTTGTTTGTAACTCTGTGTAAGGACATGAAAAGTTGCCAAATAACTTAAGTAACCAGAGAGGGTTGGGGCCTTGTGTGTGTGTGTGTGTGTGTGTGTGTGTGTGTGTGTGTGTGTGTGTGTGCAGAGCTTGCATCTGAGATTTGCAGAACAAACCTGCATAGGAAACATAAGGACGTCAAAAATGCAGCTCAGGGGCAAGTTAGGGGTTAGGGAGGTGGGCAGCTGCCTCTACCTTAGGGCCCCATGTCCACACCTGTATTCGAGGCGGGGCTGCACTGTAGGTTTGCTGTAGGCACAGTCGATTTCCCCACCTGTAAAATGGGTGACTGTGTAGGTACCTCCGGGCTACACCGGGCCCTTCTCCACATTAGGTTTAAGATTTCATGATCAAGGGCTTGTCGGTTTGAGAGGCTGCAACATTGTACCTGTAGGCTGCAGGGAAAGATTCAATCTCGCCCTTTGGCCCAGGGTCTGAAGAGCCTTTGCTCAGGCCTGAGATACCTCTTTGCAAACCTGGGTTGCCCGACCCTTTGGCTTGGAGACCACCACAAAGATGATGCTGAAGATATGATCATCGGCTCGAGAAATAGGACGTGGGAATGTTCAACTCCGGCACGTTCCTGCGCTCTTGTTAATCACAGTTCCTGTACGGAAATAATTCGTCCTTGAGCCTACATCCTCAACTTTGTGAAAAGTTGTGATTTCTTTCAAAACGCGGTTCTTGTGGCCCGTCCCTCCTTCCGTCCCTGCCCTCTGCCCCGCAGGGCCTTGCCCCACCTGGGGGCGCCACCGCCTGCCCGCGGAGCGGAGCAGCGACGACCTCGTACAGGCGCGCTGAGAGCGCCAAGCCAGTAGGGGCTTTGTGCATGATTACCGTTACCTCTGTGGCCTTAAATGCTCACGCGTGGATGAGACCCACGACACGGAGGTGTCGGCGGGAAACCAGAGAGAGAGGAGAAGCCAGGGAGGGGACTCCATCCTGGGCCCCTAGGTCGCCAGGGTTCTCTGTGGCATCCAAAAGATCCAGCTGCATTGGATATCAGGTTAGTCGGTGGAGTCCCCAGCCCACCGCGACCCCCAGCCTGACTAGGCTCTGACCGTATTTATTCAGAAATCGGAAGAAATCCCCTCTGCCCCTCGGCGCCCGTGCGCGCTCGGCCCTCTCCGTCGCTGCGAGCGCACGCGGCTCCGCCCCCTTGCCTCTCACCTCCTGGGCTCGGTCCCACCTCCTGTCCCTCCTCAAGAATCTCTCGACCGCGGGCGCCCATTGGTTGTACGCGGGGAGGAGGCGTGCGCCGGACGGGTTTCATTGAGCGGACTTAGCCCGGATGACATCAGCTTCCCAGCCCCTCGGGCGAGCCCAGCTCATTGGCGCGGCGGCCCCTCCAGGACAAGCACATTGTTCCTCGCCCCCGCCCCGGCCACCGCCAGCGGCGCCGCCGCCGACACCCGGCTATAAAAACTCTCGGAGCTCGGAAAGGTGCGGATGCTCCTTACAGACGGACAGCACGGCAGCGCCGAGCGCCGGGATCTCCACTAAGGCTTTCCGGAGCAAGTTCCTCAAATTGAACTCGCAGTGAGTGTCCCCGCCCCGCCCCCTGCAGCCTTAGCCCAGCGAGTCCGGACTGGCACCCCAAGCCCGTGGCGACCTGGGATGCTCCCCTGGGGGGGGTACTCGGATCCCGCCGCCCTAGCCGGCCAGTAACCTGGACCGGCTTCACCTCTGCGACGCTTCTCGTTCTCACCGCAGCATCCCCTTCTCCCAAAGCCAGAAGTGGAGCGACAGCGGCTCCTCCAGCCGGGGTCCCGGCCGGGTGCGAGCGCCCGCGGTCCCAGACGCAGCACGTGGAACCCGGGCCCCGAGCGCGCGCGGGCGCTGGGTGCGTGTGTTTGTGGCCCGCGGTGTCGATGGACAACGTGGATGCGTTTGAGGAGCCAAAGAAACAGTTTCCTGTTTAGATCTTCACACTTCCCAAGGAAAAGCTCTTACCCTTCACTTATTCCAGCCCCGGTGACCCAGCCTTCCCATTCTTAAGTGAAAGAACAAAACCTGTAGGATTCCCCTCTCTGGCGGTCCCTCGTTTTTTCCTGAAACAACCTGTGGATGAGAGCGGAGGGTGGGTGGCAGGGAAGGAAAGAAAGATTAGTTATGAGGACCCGAGAGCCGCTGGAAGGAGGGACAGAGAGCAGGGAGGTGCTCGCCGAGTGAAGGCCACCGTGCCTGGACCTGGGGCTGCGGCGGCGCAGGCGGGAGCAGCTTTTCTATCTCACTTAAAATCAATCCCCTCTCTCCGTGTCTCTCTCTCTCTCTCCATCCCTCGCTCCCCCTCTCCTGGAAAGGCCTGAGGGCCCAGGGAGCAAAGACCCTGCCACCAAAGCTGCGACTGTTCCCCGGGGCCATGGACTCGGACGCCAGCCTGGTGTCCAGTCGCCCGTCGTCGCCGGAGCCCGATGACCTTTTTCTGCCGGCCCGGAGCAAGGGCAGTAGCGGCAGCGGCTTCACCGGGGGCACCGTGTCCTCGTCCACGCCGAGCGACTGCCCGCCGGAGCTGAGCGCCGAGCTTCGCGGAGGAATGGGCGCGGCGGGCACACACCCTGCGGACAAGCTGAGCGGCGGTAGCTTTAAGTCGTCCTCGTCCAGCACCTCCTCGTCCACGTCGTCGGCGGCCGCGTCGTCCACCAAGAAGGACAAGAAGCAGATGACCGAGCCGGAGCTGCAGCAGCTGCGCCTCAAGATCAACAGCCGCGAGCGCAAGCGCATGCACGACCTCAACATCGCCATGGACGGCCTGCGCGAGGTCATGCCTTACGCGCACGGCCCGTCGGTGCGCAAGCTCTCCAAGATCGCCACCCTGCTGCTGGCGCGCAACTACATCCTCATGCTCACCAACTCGCTGGAAGAGATGAAGCGACTGGTGAGCGAGATCTACGGCGGCCACCACGCCGGCTTCCACCCCTCGGCCTGCGGGGGCCTGGCGCACTCCGCGCCGCTGCCCGCGGCCACCGCGCACCCCGCCGCCGCCGCTCACGCAGCGCACCACCCGGCCGTGCACCACCCCATCCTGCCGCCCGCCGCCGCCGCCGCCGCCGCTGCCGCCGCCGCCGCCGCGGTGTCCAGCGCCTCCCTGCCGGGCTCCGGGCTGTCGTCCGTGGGCTCCATCCGGCCTCCGCACGGCCTGCTCAAGTCTCCGTCGGCGGCCGCGGCCACCCCTTTGGGGGGCGGGGGCGGGGGCGGCGGCGGCGGCTTCCAGCACTGGGGCGGCATGCCCTGCCCGTGCAACATGTGCCAGGTGGTGCCGCCGCCGCACCACCACGTGTCGGCCATGGGCGCGGGCAGCCTGCCGCGCCTCACCTCCGACGCCAAGTGAGCCGGCCGTGCCCGCGCGATCTGGCGAGCGAGGGCGGCCCGGGGCCGCGAGGCAGCGAGGACTGGCGGGCGCCGGGCTCGGGAGCGCTGTCACGAGGAGATGCGCGGGGCCGGGGGCTGGGGTGGGGACGGGGACTCCAGCGCGCGCCCGCGAACCGAAGGCGAAGTCGTGGGCGCGCACAGAGCCGCCGGGAGTGAGGGGCGCATCCTCTCTGGGACCCTGTCGAGGCCTCTGGCTTTAAACCGCGCTGGGCAGTGTGGTGGACACTTTATAAAAAGGCACCACCGTATCATCCTTCTCTGGAACCCCTCTTCTTCCCCCGGAAAAGCGTTTGAAGATTGCGGTTTCCCTGCGAACGTGGCTTGACTCCCGGACTGGGACGGGTGGAGGGGGGGGACGCCTTAGGGCTTCTTCTCCGTCCTCCCTCCTAGGCGGGTAGGAGTCTCCGGCCCTGCGGAAGCGACCTCTGGCCTTAGAGGGTCGTCGCCGGCCCAGGTCCAGGCCCAGGGGCGATGGGTTCTTTGGAAGCTGGCGTTGGCACCTAAAGCACTTACGGTCGCATCGGATTCCCGGGTTTCGGAATCTGGCTACACCCGCACCTCCTCTGAACCTCGCCCGCCCCTCCCAGCCTCTCCTGTCGATTTGGGGATTGGTTGTTTTCCAATAAATCTGTGAGTGTTTCTTTTTCAGCAGTATGAGCAAGCTTTGTGGACGCTCAGAATAGAACCACTTGTGGAACGGAATAACCCAAAACTGCCGATATTGGGGGGAAGCGGGTGTTTTTAGATATTATTTTAAAATAGAAACTACCTTTCTCCTTCCTTCCGTCTGGAGCGCGAGTGATTTTGTTTCTTACTCGTTTGGAGACAGTCATTTCGTTACCCGAGGGCTTGACAGAACAACAAGGAAGTGGCTGTGAATATAGTTTGAGGTTCTGCTGGCTTTTTAATAATCCTTTCTTGGATGTGTAACTATCACATCAAGGATGCGGTAAGTGCGACGCTAGCTCTCTGCTCACGTGATGACTCCCTCTCCCCCCCACCCATCATCCGGTTTCTTTTTGCCACGTTTAACACAAATGGCAAACTTCCACGTGTTTCCTGCGTCTTCACAAGCCATCGGGCGCTTCCTGCGCTGCAGTCGGGCTTCGTAGCGTCTGCTGCGTAACATCCCTCCCCTGATTCCGCTGTCCCTCGCAGAGAGTGTATCATCTGTTTTATTTTTGTAAAAAAAGAAAAGTGCTAAATAATATTTATTACTTGTTTGGTTTCAAAAAATGAAATAAATGATCAAGTGTTGAGATTTTAAATAAAATGTGAAGTAAGTCGGGCGTTTTCTCATCCGTGTGAGCGGATAGTGAAGGATTTGGGGATCGTTTTTTTGCGGATTTGTCCCAGAGGAGAAAGATTAAGGGGGTTGTTTATCCATGCCCTCAACCTTCCTTCCCAATTCCTTCAAATGCTCTCTGAGAGCGTCCTCCTGTGGGTGATTATCACAACTTGTTCATCCTTGCTTTTATTTCCTGGAACCTGGCTGGGAAGTTCCTTTCCTTTAGCTGAAGGCGGGACGAATTTAAGAGTAGGGCCTGGGGAAGAGCACTGGGCCTTTCCCTGGGGTCTGGTGCCTGGACGTCCTCTCGGCCTGGATTGGACTTTCTCTCCGTTCACCACGGGCTGGGTTTGGGTTTGCTTGGCTTCTGCTGGGAACCAGACGCTTGGGGCCTTGAGTGCCACAGAGATGCTGCATTGAGCATAAGGCTTTGCAGGATGTTGGATGAGGGACCCACTAGCTCTTCTGTCCTTTCTCTGCAGTTTCTATGACCTTCTTTCTCCCAGCCCACACCCCGTCTGGCACTGCAGAGTGCCTGGTGCTGGGGATCACGAGGAATGTAAACGTGGCACTTTGGCCTCTATACACTCTCCTGGGCCTTCTGTCTTCTGGCAGCCACTGGGGTCTTTAGCACTCAACTGCAATGCAAATTTAGGATATGGCGCTTAAGAAAATTCTAGGTAGAAGTTACAAAAAGCTTCAGCTGTCCCAGTCAAGGACAAGGACTATCGCTGCTGCCCTCTCTCAGCCCAAGAGCTCGCCCAAGAACACGCCCCCTGAAAGGCAGCCTGGCACAGCTCAGTGGACCGGTTTCCTGGTCCAGGGCTGCCTTGCCATCTCTAGTGACCACCAGCAGAAGACACCTGGGCTTGGGGTATTGAAACCCCATTTGTTGAGTCCAGGCCCTGAGGCCAGCCAACAATAGGAGTCCCTAGCTCAGGCCTGAGAGTATCAGTGCTCTAGCTCGGGGACTACACTCAGGCGCCCAGAGATTGGGTGCTGTGGGCCAAGCTTTTCACCACAGGCTAGGAGGGGTTTGGAAAGGTGGAGCAGCTGGTGGTGCAGCGAAGAGAGAGGGAGCCCAGAGACAGAGGCAGATGGAACGCAACAAAGGAGCAGGGTAGGGCGCAGTCCTGTTTGTGCCGAAATCCCATTTGAAACTTAGGAAACTTTTGAAGTTCAAAACTGGGTCTGGCTCCAGCTGCAGACACTATAGAGGGGAGTGTGGGGAGGCTGGAAATCCTCTCAGTGGGAACTCAGAACCCATGGGGTGGGGGTGGGAGGTTGGGCTTTAGTGGCAGCTTCAGCGAGGCTTGTGCCCGGGCAGACTCTGGGTATGCAAGGTATACGCATGGAAGGACAGTTGTTGAAAGAAAATAAATCAAGTCTTCCCCTCCATGTAGGTCCGTAAGCTTTCAGCAGCTTCCAGCCACCAGCCAGGCTCAACCTCAGCCAAGGAAGGAGGGGCCGTGTCCAGACTCTGCCCCCTCCCCCAGGAATCTGCTTAAACTGTGCCCCAAAAGGGCCTCCACATGTGACACCCCAGCATCCCCAGGCACCACCAAGAGGCACTGTGCACTGCGGGGCAGGTGGCCCTGAACTGGTAGGGACAGGGATGGAGGGCTCAGGCCCGCAGCTTCGCCCCCATTAGAGGTGAAAGAAGACTTCAAAATCGCTTTGACGTGGGTGGGCCCTTAATTGGGAGCAGGCTTCCCCCTAAGAGAAGGGAAAGGAAGGAAACTGTCGCAGCACCCTGCTTTCTGCCTGGCACTGACAAGCAAAGTTTGCTCCCTGGGAAGCATAAGCCAGGAGATTTTTCCAGGGCTGGGCTCCTTTGCAGGCCCAGGACACTGCCCTCCCCTCTCTCCCTGTCCTCCCTTCTCTCTCATAGGAGCAGCAGGAGTCCCGGGAAAAGTGACTTCCCTTGACTTCATATTGGAGGACTCACTCTAGGGTTGGATATCACTGATGCCCACAGAATTGGAACTCTCCACCCTGGGGACAGTAAGCAGAGGGGTGAGACAACCCTGAGACGAGTATGCTGAACGGAGAGTTTCAAGACACCTTACGGGTCACACACGCACGCACACACACACACTCTTCCTGTTTCTCACCTAGGGGCCCAGTCATTGCTATATGGACGCATTATTTGGTTCTGGTTATGGGGGAGGGGTGCAGTAAGAAGCAAATGCAGCAGAGCTGTGGGAAGGAGCCCCCTACCCCCAGTTCAGGATCTTAGTAAGGAAGCTGGGGGAGGAATCAGTCAACATTTAGTGAAGGTTAGCGGGTGTAAGGTATGGCAAGTTAGTGTCAGTCTGTTGAATTCTCACAGCAACTCTTTAAGGGCTGTTAGCCCATTTTGCAGGTGAAGAAACTGAGGCACAAAGACAGCAAGTGACTTAACTTGCTCAACAGCACAGGCAGTAAACTCGGTCGACCAGGCTGCAATGCAGCCAGCTCCATAGCTCACATCCTAGAGGTCACCTAACCCACACCCAGGCCCCGCTGGGACCCCACAGCCACTACCCGGGGTTAGCTGCCGACTGGGGAACTGTCCCATCTGGCGCTGCCACCTCCACCCCACGCCCTGCCAGCTCTCAGGGACGCTCTCAGTGCACCCCCTCGGTGCCTGGACCCCATCTGTCCCCAACGCCCCATCTGGGTGGCAGGCGGTGCCGACAGGCTTTGGCAATTAACAGGGCGCGGGTGGAGAAAAGGCCCGAGCAGGTGAGCCTCAGTGGTGCTCCTTAGGGCTGTCGTTACTGCCGGGCAGCTGCGATCGGGTGGCCAGGCTCCCCAGCCACACCTCCACCCAGCCGCGACAGGCATCTTAGGAGTCCTTCGGGAGGGGTCCAAACTGAGACTCCTGCAGCAACCCAACAGATACCCTCGCCAACCAGGCTAACGCACCGTGCCGGAAGCAGAGCTGTTTGGAGGCCCTCACACAAGCCAGCAGGCTCCTTGGGGCCCGGACTTTCATATCCCAAGTCCTCAAATGGGCTCTGTCCACCAGGACCACCTGGCAGGGTTCTGGGTTTGAAGGCCGTGTCTTTATTTGGGTTGCTTGAGCCACCATGCCATGCTGTCACTCTGGAGGAAGCTGCTTGGGAAACTCCTCGGAACGGTGTGGGTGCGAAGGTGGCCTCTGCTGGGTCCCTTGCTTCCTGGGTCCGGTCGTGAGCAGGCTGAAGCCAAGGCTGCTGCGGAGGGGCGACCCAGGCTCCATACCTTGGCCAACGAGGACCCAGATTGGGGGGTGGAGCTGCTGCCTTGGACCACGCAGCCCTCCTTTGGTGAGACTGCAAAGGCCGAGTGGCCTTGGGTCCACTGGAGGACAGAGCAGGTGGAGTCCCCTGTCCCCGGGAGCAAGGGTGCAGAACCTAGAGAGGCTTTACATTCCTGCAGGGCCCGGACACTGCGGGGTGCATGCACCCGGGTCCAAGTACCAGAGTCCATGGACAGGGTCCTGCACCCGGGCTCACGTCCGGTACACTCAGGCTTGCACGTGTGCTAGCCCTGCTGAGCATGGGGCATCTGTCAACCGGAAGTCCTTCGGCGTGGGCAGCTGGGCTCACCTGAGAGCTGGGAATGTGTCCCATTTCCAGCCTTGCAGTCTTCCCAGACCATCCTGGCTCCGAGCACTCCTCTTAGCAGCCAAGGATACAAGGAAACTGACAAGCAACCCTTCCACCTTCACCCTCAGATCTCCCTGGCAGTAGCCTTTTGTTTTGGAGACACGGGTTGGAATGGCCTTTCCAAAGCTCTGTGATGTTAGATCTGAGCCTCAGTGTCCCCTGCTGTACAATGGAGTCAGCAGGGTGATCTCCAGCACTCCTGGGGTAAATCAGACTCTGCTGAGAATACCATGGGCCCTGGTCCACCTGGGAGGAGAGAGCCTGGGAGCCCCCAGCTGGCAGAAGCACGTGATGCATGAAAATAGTGCTGGGTGTCACCTTTGTGCACTAATGGAACTCAGCAGCCTCCCCTGAAGCAGGTGTAAGTTCTGGAAAGGAGTTGTCACAGGTTGTGAGACTTCCCCAGTGTAGAAACTGGCCCGGATGTCTTTGTGTCTAGATATGTACAGTACCTGCTAGATAGAAGGGCCCAGAACAATGAATGAGTGAATGAACCCAGGAAGGGGTGATGCAGAAGGAATCCATGGAGGACTCAGTAGGGAGGGCTCTGGGTGAGTATGGGGAACAAGACAGGCTCCTCCAGGCCCCAGGATCCTGCACAGATGGGGAACACTGAGACCATGAGGCAGTCAGCATTCCTGTAGCTGGATTTGGACACAGTGGCTTTCATGACAAGACCTCCACGAGCCTCTCTTCGTATATAAAGAGGTTCATTAATAATAGTACATAATAGTTGTGTTGCTGTACGGAGTAAAGGAAAACTCCCAGGAGCCACTTTCTGCCTGGTCCCAACTGTAAATGGATGCTGTGTGTCCCGGGGCCTGCCCAAGGTGTATCTGAACCCCACATCTGAGGCTCCTCTGCTCCAGTAGCCAAGAATGTGTAGGTCACATGGGGCCCATCACTATGACGACCACTAGAGGACAGCTGGGTGTGGAGTGGTGTAATGCCTCAGCTGGGATGTGCCAGCTGTGTGCCCTTGGATAAGAGATACAGGCTTTCTGGGCCTCAGTTTCTTTGTCTGCAGAATAGGATGCTGCTACCATCTCACAGGGAATCAGGCTTAGAAGGGAGAACCTGGCGCTGGGCAGGGCACACAGAGAATTCTGGAAAAACAGAAGAGTGTGTGACTGCATGGTGGCATCCCATCAAATCTCCTGGGAAATCCTTCAAGGTGAGTCTGTGATATCTGACCTGCATGGTCAGCAGAATCCCAAGATACCTGCATGCCTCAGGACCCCAAGAGGAGCTTGGTGGTGGTCCTGAGCTCTTTCCAGAATCTACACCTCCTCCAAACCCCAGTGCAGGCAAGGGCGCTCTATTCTTCCC